TTTTCAATAGTGAAATGTATTTGTTCAATAAACCTGTGTGATTGAATTACTAGGGTGAAACATAGTTAAAATTATAAGTTATCAATAAACATCGGAAATTGTATAAAATTTAGCACAACATAGCTAAACAACAATTTTTTCTTTTTAAAAAAGCATGCAAATTACCGCTGCTATTGGTAAGGCGGCATATGGCACACCACATATAAGATCAATTCCATTATTTGGCAACAAAGCGATAAGTGATTGTGCAATTTCATCCTAAATTTAGATACAAATAAATAAATAAATTTAGTCAGAATACTCTTTTATTTATAAAGAACAATAACGAAAAAGACAATTGACCATTAAAAAAATAGATGGAATGTGAGTAGCAGTGAAATCCATGATCGGCGTTTCGTCCCATTTGGGGCTCATTAGCCAGGTACACATGATTTCACTCCTGGATTCCAGGCCAGTACCATAAAGATCCACTCAGCTACTGAGTCCAGGTAGTCGTTGACTTGTGCAGCGGGGTATGGATTTTAATTTAATATGTAATGGGTTGGGTCATCATATTGGCTACATTGGAGCAATCTGCACAAGATGTACATATGCTAAGCAGGAATGACCAGATTTCGGTCAAAATATCAGCAAGCGGATAATCTAAACCACTACATAGTAAGTTTTAAGTCCCGCGTTAGATTTCATGAACAAGGATAACCGTTTAGTGTCTAGAAATCTGAAGTTAGGACAAAGAATTTGTTCGCTATCACTTTTGTTTTTAATTACTTTCTAGCTGAAACTGGTGACAAAAACTAGCTTTACACTTGCATTCAGTGATAAAATCATGTATTGTCACGACCGAAATTGTTAGTTAATAGACATTCATATGTGTTTTGACGAAAGCAGCTATCCATATATTAAGTTTTTCTCATAAGGAAATTTTGTTTTTAACATACTGATGTATATATAATTGGTCATAAGATTTACATTGATCGATTAGTAAAACACAATCAATGGCATATTGATCCCTTAATGTTGATTGAATTCTGTAGATCAAGTTGCACATGTTGCTGCTAGTTCAAGTGACCAAATATCCTATGTTCTGCGTTTTGATGCTGAATGGTTGGAGATAATCAGTAGCAGACCCTGAATATGGGTTTCATGTTAACTGGCGTTCGACTAATCAACACCAAGGACTAGATAAACATGACATTACTTACTATACGATGACATATAAGTGTAAATATCTTTGTCGTATAGGTCACTAGTAGCTCGAATGCGCAAATGGTGACATTTAGGGCTATTAAATAGGATGAAGCAGGATCAAATCCTATGGTCACAATCAGTCCTTTCAAGATTGCAAGTAAACTTTCCTGAAGAACCCAAACTATCATGAAATCTAGGTTCACAGCTTCTTGCCAATTATCTCCAACCACTTAACGTCAAAAGTCATCAAGTTTGCGTTTATCCATCACTGATATTTAGAATGACAATCACTACATACTGAATATATGTATATTAGTCTGTGAAGGTGGAAAAATCTTTCCTTGATGATATTCACGAAAATGTAACAGTAAAACTGAGATGAAGGTACTTTAAGCTGATGAGTTTTATATAACCAGGAAACATAAGTTCCGAACTCTTGTGTTAGGAATGTTAAATTCTTAGAAAACTACTTCCGCACTTGATTATTTGGTCACTTTCATTTTTGAAATTTAAATAACAGACATTATTTAACTATTGTTCACTGATTTTTTTAGTACGCTAAATGTTAATCCTACTTTCAAAATCGCTGTGCACATATTGATACCTTAATAATGTTTGAATAAATCAATTTATTTTGATTGTTAACAAAAAATCTTTCTTGCAAGATAGTTTCCTGAAATATATGAGAGTATAAAAAGAAAGGGATTTATGGCATCCAGGTACGAATCACAGCTAGGAATTATTACCGCTTACACGTAATATAAATTACTCTACCAGGCATTTTCAAAATAAAATAAAATTTTAATTCTAAACTTCAAGATATGCATTCAAAGTGATCTACATACAAACAGAGACTGATCAGTTTTGAATATTAACAATAGTAAAAATATGAATCCCTTATATAACAATACTATAATACTACAATGGTGTACGGTGGCGCAACTTCGTGCATTGGTTGAAGTTACACATTAACACCATTGGATGCCGGCTCAGTGGTCTGATCGGTTAAGCGCCTGGCGCGAGACTGATAGGTCCTGGGTTCGAATCTCGCGGGGTGCAGGATAGTGGATGCGCACTGCTGAGGAGTCCCGTACTAGAACGAAACGGCCGTCTAGTGCTTTCAGGATTTCCATGGTGGTGTAGCTTCAATTGACTCATGATTTCAAACAGTGATATTATATTTATTTTATAAATAAAATAACCTGATATAAATGACAGTAAATAAAACAGAACTCACCATAAATTTAGGTGAAGAAATAAGAATTCGTAAATCAACATAGATTGGAGAGATTATACCTGATTTTAATTGATATTTACCAAATTTCACCACACCCATATCGTAAAACGTTAAAGCTATACGATTTCTTTCCATAATCAATATTACTACAATTTGATAAAATTAAATAGTATTAGTATAATAAGCAATCCAACTGTAATATTGTTAGTATAGGGGTTGTGGAGATTGTTAAGTTTTTGATTGAGATCATGAACCGATTGATGTTAGACTACGATTGAAAACCTGGAAGCACTGAATGAACGTTTCGTCCTATTGTGGGACTCCTCAGCAGTGCGTATCCACGACCCCGCTCGCGGGAATCGAACCCAAAAGAAGAGATATCAGAGATAGCATTGCTTGATCAGTGAACAGTAAACAATACTATGTCTGCTTAATCCTATAGGATGTCAACCAATACCTGAATAGCTCAGTTGATATATCTCTGATTCTGAGTGATCCTTATCAACTCCAACCACATAACATTTAAAGATATCTGAGTGAAAGGAACACAGATAGCAAACTTGAAAACGCATGGGTATTATTCAAGTTTGAATGGACACTACATGTATACATAAAACGATAATGTTGAATTGAAACAATCCTTATTACATAGAACAACATACAAGCAACTTTAACAAAATAATATCATAAAGAGGAAAAATGTATTTGTAAAATTTCAGTGAATGAATTTGAAATCCTACGTTTCGCCTGACAATCTGATACAAGCTTTTTCAAGGAAATATGATATTTACTTCAAATTCATTCGCTGAGATTTTACAAATACAACATTCTTTTTCTTTAACGTCTCATATCAACTAGACACTCAAATACTATGAAACTATTCGATCAAATTTAGACGAAAGTTCTTATAAAATAGTATCTTAATTGACCAATAAAGTATTAGTAGTGTGTGCAGTTTTTAACGAATATGTCATGATTTTGAATCCAAACTAGCTAATTCTAATTAGATAGCTGGATATCATCAGCCTTCACAGAAACGGTTGGGTGCAGATCCGAGTACATAAACACTAACTTGATGATGGATGAGTTATATTGACATATTTCACGTACACGTTACGATACATTTGGATTGTAAACAACATTCAAATATTCCACTGAAAGTATTGGACACAGATCGGTTCATGACTTCGATGAAGTTCAACAACCTCAATAAGCCCATATTGAAAAAACCTTATATATATGTTGAGTTTTTTAAATGGATTTATCAAAAATAGTCTGTGAAACGTAACTGGAAAAACAACCATGTCGATCGAACTTGGGCTTGGATAGAAATTAACTGTCAAAAGAAAATATACCCAGAAATGTAAACAATGTTTTTTGCTGTTCTAAACATTTGGCCGATGAGATGAAGAATAGATATCTATTCAAAATCCTGTATCATTTAGGAAGTGATCCTATATGACATAATGAGTGGTTTCCTGAAAAAATACTGTTTACTGACTCCTTATTTGCTATCACTCTTCAGCTAATGACTGGAATGAGTACTTTTAAGTCAATTTAGAACTATACTTTAGGTGTGGGGTCTAGTAAGACCGCCCGGTTGCCCAAACTGCAGTATATGTCGGAATATCCGAACCTGGAACTTAGTAGTTGAAAGCCGAGTACTGTCACCTCCTAAACCATAACTTCCTCAAAAAATAACAGATCGTAAAATCAGAACTGTCCAAAAATCGACCATATACATTTTAACACAACGCTCAGACTTTCCGCGAAGTTTTAAATGCTCATCCAGCATTTTCGCTTATTTTTACATTCATTTAGTGGATATGCATTATGGAAAAGTGTAATTCTCTTCGGATGATTTCATTACAAAAGGAAGAAGTTATCCGAAACTATTTCTAGGAACATTGTGGATATGTCTAACATATGCCAAATTAAAAGCACAAATATAATAAAAGTTACAGCTTCGAAAATGAAATCTTTAATGAAAATTACACTTAAATCGACAGCAATCATTCACTAAATGAATGGGGAAAATATCACTGAAATGTATTCGTTACAACATAATTGATAAGCATTAAAGGCACCAGGGTTAACATCAATCCTTTTATTTATTTAAACACAAACATTAGTACAAGGAGGAACCAAAAAGATATGCGCCACATAAATCATTCGATTTATGTGGGGGCTGGAATACTGCTCGGACGCCCAAACCCAAGCAGGTGGGTTTTTTTAGGGGATCACACTCGGAACCTTTAACCTAAAGGTTTGGAGCAACGTTAGGAGATGCAGTCCCATGGTAGCTGATGACTAAAGATTATTTCATACACTATTTTTTCCTTCAGGACACTGGAGCCCATGTGCACCATTGGTTTGAAATCAGGGTTTTCCAACTCCCCTAGATGGGCCCTTCGTGTCGACCAACCTCAATCCGCAAAATAAATCATTATTAACATGGTAGAAAAAATATTTTGATAAATCTTTAACCTTTTTTAAAGGTTGATCAATAAACAACGCTACTCTTGGATTAACAACCATAAACTAATTAGAAAGGTAAAATAAAAACTACACGTTACAAAATCACAAGTAATTTTATTCAATAATATTTACAGAACAGTATGTTGTTGTTTCTCTTTATCTCTCTCTCTGAAAACAAAGAGGAAACGAAATGCAATGTAAAATAAACAAAGAGAATTAAACAATTCACTACATCAGGAGGTAAACAGAACGATAATTTGTGGTATGGGGGAAAGTGTTCAAAAGAAATGAAGAAGAGAAGTAATAATCTATACAGAATGAAAACAAAAACGAAATTACAGAACAATAACAAACTTATTTACAAAATGTACAAAATTGAACAATGATGATGGAGAAGAAAAAAATACAAAATCAAAAAACATTTGAATTTGATGGAGTTTCTAATCCAGACTCGAAATCATACAATTCTTCAATTAATTCAGGTCTTAATGTGAAATTATTATTATTAAGATTAAATGAATGATTCAATTCATGATGATAATTATCATTTCCTATTAATTGTATACGATTAGTATATTGAAACCAACGTGATAAATTAGTAATTAAACAAAAATAATCTGGTAAACAATCAGTATATGATTGAAAACATTGATCACCATGTCTCCATAATAATCCAATTAAAGCACGTGTTAATTGACCAAAAGCAAGTAAACAATATTTTTGTTTCATTAATAATATATAATATGTAAATGTGAATTGATGATGAATTAATGATGTTGATAATAAACTAGTAGGAATAGTTAATAATGTTTGTAATGGATAAGTTGCTAAATAAACTAATGTTGAATAAACCTATCGGACAAAGAAAGAAAGAAACCAAGAGAGAAAGAGAGATTTATACACAGAAATACGAAAAACTACTTTAATGCACACATAATTCCAAAGAAAATAATTATTTCAAGAGTTGAGATCATGAGTCAATTGAACCCCTTCTGATACTAATCAACATATGCTCACTAGTGATTGGCTTCAAGAGATATGTCTTGGAGTTCTAGTGAGAAGCAGTGAACAATGGGGTTCAACCGGGTCAGTTGTGAGGTAGTAACTCACTGATGACAATGGTGGATGTATCGTTCAATTTCGTGGATTAGTTGAAGTTAAACATTAACACCGTTGGATGCCGGGCGGCTCAGTGGTCTAGTTGGTTAAGCGCTTTGCGCGACTGATAGGTCCTGGGTTCGAATCCCGAGAGGCGGGGTCGTGGATGCGCACCGCTGAGGAGTCCCACAATAGGACGAAACGGCCGTCCAGTGCTTTCAGGTTTTCCCTTCTGAAAATAATCATTATTTGAAAGAAAAAAGTTGCTCATAGATTAAGACAGAAAGTAGGTAAACTTGTTCTGGGTTTTTCTTTTCTTTTCATAACGTATGATAATTTTGAACTATTGGATTCTATCTATGTGAACTCGATAGTTCAGACAATTAACACACAACACTAGAACACTAATCATTTATGTGATTGAAGAGAGAGAAGTTAAGAACTTAGCAAATGTTGAAATTGTGATAGAACAAGTCTATTCACGTAACAACAGAAAATGTGATATTGAGACACAATAAATGAATAAATAATAGACTAAAAATAAGAACAATAGTCAGTGGGAAAAGATTATCGCGAACTGTCTTACATCACTTTTTGAAACTATTGACAAAAATTTGTTAGAATTATGATCTATCTTTACTAGCCCAAGAATTCAAAAAACTACTACTAATGTGTACAACAGACATTCAATTTCAGTTTAACGACAGTATATATCGTCAAACCGATGGTGTAGCAATAGGAAGTCTATTAGGTCCAATTATGGCAGATATTTTTATAGGATATCTTGAAAACATGGTGCTTAAACAGACAATTAGCGAAACGACAGAATACTCTAGATATGTTTATGACAAGCTTATTGTCTGTAACAAAAAAGGCATGCAATCCACCTGTTAAAACTCTTTAATAATGCTCATCCTAACATACAATTTACTATGGAACACGAACAGAATGACAAGTTCCACTTTCTTGATATTGTCATAAAACGTAGAGAAGACGGGACAATTCAACGTTCAGTTTTTATTGAAAAAGTACTTGAATTTCGGTACTTTCTGTCCAATCAGTTACAAGACGGCAAGGGTTAAAACACTATTTTATAGGGTAGAAAGGATATGTACCATCGACAAACTAGAAGAATTGATGAACGTTGAAAAATGCCTAAGAGATAACTGTTGCCCACAGAAATTTATTGAAAAATATTTTAAAAAAACTAAAGAAAACAAGACAGGAGTGATTACGGTCAATAAAAAACCAAGATCTATAAATTTCAACTTCAAAGGTGATGATGTCGCAAACACAATCAGCAGAAGACTCAACACTGCATTAGCCAGAACTTATTCGGTAGCCAAACTATTAATTCTGTATAAAACAAAATGTTCAATAACTCAATCAAAGGTTGACAAGCACCCGTTTCGTGTTATCGCCAACTGTATTCATAAATTTACGTGTACCTGCCAAAGCAGTTGCATTGGCCGAACAGAAAGGAGAACATATGTTAGACTTTTTGAGCATGTTCCAAAAAGTCTCAGAACAAGAGAAAGAAAAACTCCAAACAGTGCAATTACCGAACATCTGGATACAGAACATTAGGTCGATACCTTGCAATCTTTCAAGGTGATTAGTAAGCAGCCAAACACTAGTCTTCTGAAGTTTGCTGAAGCCATTTCTATCAGGCGTCAAAAACCTGACTTATGTGTTCAAAAGGAGATGGTTATTAATCTTTTCTTGTCTCGGTGACAAATATCCCTTCGTTGCATCTTAAACATTTTCTTTTTAACTCTTCCTTAGTGAAGATTTTCAGGATTTCATGATAAATTATTGTATTAAAATACATTTTCAAAATTTTAAGGTTAAGAATAATTTTCGGTTAAAGCATTGCATCTACTTGAAAAGATGTTAGATGGTTTAAATGTAGACAGTAGAAAGCTCTGGTAGCCAGGTTTTATCTTATTTTACATATACTATCAAGACGTATTAGTCACATTGGAAATAGTCAGCTGGACATCCTGCAACTCGGTTTTGTCGAATGAATTAAACTATTGCTGACATTGTAACTTAATAAAATTTAATCAGAAATAAAGGATTGGATTAACATAACATTGTTCACTACTCGGTGACCAATCAAGCGTACGTTATTTTCGTAATTGAACTCCTGTGGAGTTGAAATATTCAGCATTAACTGACCAATCTGTAGTAACCATTGTAAAGTTATTTATGTGGTAACAGGCAATCACCAGAAAGTCATGGAACTTTTTAGGACTTGGCAGCTAGATGTACCTGCATTTAAGGGTTGATGTTCACCCCAGGACTCCAGACCAGTAATGTTCATTACAAACGCCAAAGTGTTATCCGCCTAGCTACTGAGTTTACATATCCACTCACTTGTGCAACGGGGTATAAATTTTAATTTAATCTGTAAATATTTGGATTATTCCATCTTCGTTTCATTGACTAGTATTTTATCAATCTCTGTTGGAATCAATGCATTCTGTAAGGATTGTTGTGATATTGGCTTTAATTACAAGTTATAAATCCAAGTCGACCAAAAACTTGTAACTAAAGACAATATCGGTCCAATCTATAGAAGATCAACAGATGCCAACAGAGACTGATAAAATATACCCCAATTATATCAATGGAAAAATGCAAACCCTTAGATATATGGCTCCGTACCCACTAGACAAGTTACCGATTATCTGCATCCAGTAATTCAATGAATAATGCGTTGGTGTTAAGAGCGGAAGATACTAAGTTCGATTTTCAGTGTTGTCATAAATGGGATGCAAGTACATAAGACTGGCTAGAAACATACAAGACGAAACGCGTGTGATGGATTTCGCCCCTAGCCACAATTACACCTATACTACCGATGTAATAATGATAAGTTAGTTTTCCGTCAATAATAAACTAGATATGTATGTAAATGATAAAAAACAGTTAACATACCAATTCACTCTTTGAGTACGTATATTTGAAATCTTTTAAAGCATGACATGATTAAAGAGACATTTAACAGTGAATAATGAATTAATTACTTACCTGACGCTTACAATAACAATTATCAGGCCAAATTATATCTTCACGTTGAGTAAGCACAGCAATAATTCCAGAAAACTGTAAAGTTAACAAAGAAATTTATATTGTAACTAATAAAAAAATATGGAGATATGTAACATGCAATTCATGGAATATCAAGCGAACTTTATAAGTATAATGTTTATTTATTTGTTTATTTATTTGAAAACATTAACATTGGTACAAGGGGGCATCAAATACATATGCGCCACTCAATAATAATGAGACCAGTAGCAGTTGCCATTGATTTGTATGAGAGCTGGAATATTGCTCGGACGCCCAAACTGAAGCAGGTAGTCTTTTTAGAGGGCCACTTCCCATACTTTTGGTCTGAAGGTCTAATCCACAAGGCAGTGTAGCAACGTTAGAAGACTCGGTCCCATGGTAGTCGGTGACCAACAATAGGTTGGGTACGCAATTTGTTCCCTCGAGATCCTGGAGCCCATGTGCACCATTGGTTTGGAATCAGGGTTTTCCAATTCCCTAGTGTGTTAAAGTACTACTCCCGTGATGACACATGAACGAGGAATAAACATGAAGATGTAATATAGTATCATAATCATTCGTTACATCCTCATGTTTATTCCTTGTTCATATGTTATCATGGAACTTACATATGTACATTGATCTAGGTCACCTGGCATAATATAGCAACATGAAAAATATATATGTCAAAAATAAAGCACATGGAGAAATATGTCAACCAACATTGCAAACAGATTGACATTGTGAACAATATATATCCGTGGACATTTCAACATTTTGTACTTTCAACTTCAAATGAGCAGATTATTATTATTATTATTATTATTATTATTATTATTATTATTATTATTAGTGGCTTTATTCAATATCATATTTTTGGTACAATATAGAATTCTCAGCTAAGATCGCATAAAAAGGGCAATTTTCATTGTAATTCATCGTTCTTTGCAATTATAGACTTGATATCATCTGATGTTTCTGTGGCTAAACAAATAGTAAAGTTCTGAAGATAGTAATCGTATTTATTATCTTGATACTACAAGTTGTTGGAGGTAGGCTGAAAGAAACCCTGGACCTAGGTTTCGTATTAGTTGGTACTCGTCATTAAGATGTATTTGTAATCTTGAAAGAACTGACACTTCCTGTGTCATTCAAATCCACATTACCCAATCTCACATTCGAAGATGTTACCACTGAATTATTCAAGTAGAGATTGACTTCCTGTACGATTGATCAATCAACACGTTGTTTGGTGAAATCCATTGCTTAATTAGTGCATTTCAATCCAATCAGTTAAGTGAATAATTATCATTAGTGTACTAATGTAAACAGTAAAAGTATCCATAACATTGGTTTTTTTTCATAAAAACAAACCACAACAAAAAAACTTACTTCATTCAATAAATTAATTCTTTGCATTTCTGCTGAATGATAAAACTCAATATTGTTATCAATTAATGAATTTGATAAAAGTGTAGAATCATTAAATTGATTCAAAATTTGATAAATCCATGAACATAATGAAAGTAGACCACATTTTATAGATGTACCAAATAATTTTTCAATGTATTGTTGACGGACATCTACGAACAAAAAAATTGATTTTATTAAGGTATTTGTAATAGCAAAGAGCTTCTATCCCAAATGCAGAAGACAACCAGTGTAGCAGCAGCCTCAGCAACAGTACGTCTCAATATACACAAAGGGAAAAGTAAGATTCTCCGATACAACACAGAATGCAACAATCCAATCACAATTGACGGAGAAGATTTGGAAGATGCAAAAACCTTTACATATTTGGGCAGCATCATTGATAAACACGGTGGATCTGATGCAGATGTGAAGGCGCGGATCGGCAAAGCAAGAGCAGTATATTTACAACCGAGGAACATCTGGAACTCAAAGCAACTGTCTATCAACCAACACCAAGGTCAGGATTTTCAATGCAAATATCAAGACAGTTCCATTGTATGGAGCAGAAACTTGGATAACTACGAAACAATCATCCAGAAGATACAGGTGTTTATTAACAGTTGTCTACGCAAAATACTTCGGATCCGTTGGACAGACACTATTAGCAACAACCTACTGTGGGAGAGAACAAATCAGATCCCATCGGAGGAAGAAAACAGGAAAAAGCTCTGGAAGTGGATAGGACACACATTGAGGAAAGCACCCCACTGCGTCACAAGACAAGCCCTCACATGGAATCATCAAGGCCAAACGAGAAGAGGAAGACCAAGGAACACATTACGCCGGGAAATGGAAATAGACACGAGAAAAATGAACAAGAATTGGATGGAACTAGAAAAGAAGGCCCAGGACAGAGTGGGTTGGAGAATGCTGGTCGGCGGCCTATGCTCCTTTAGGAGTAACAGGCGTAAGTAAGTAATAGTAAAGAGATTTTATCATTATTATTTTTGTCCTGAAAAATACAATAGTGAATGTACTAATATGAAAATAAACGTATAAGGGAACTAGCAATATATTTTCCCTCTTCCACCATAACTTTCGACACAGTTCTCTACTAACGATTCAGAAGAAAGAACACAGAAATTTTATTACCACTACAGTGAATGATAGAACGAAAACTTTACTTTTCCTTATGAACTAACCTTTGAAGATGTTGACTTTCTAAATAGTTATGACAGGCTGATCTGATCTATTATTTATTTTCAAATAATAATACTATTTCGAAAATTTTCAGCCATTCACTGTAATATGACTGAAAAGATATCAACTACGATGTTCTAATTTATAATATGTCCATTAATAATCATGTAAACATTTATTTAGTAGGTACAAACCCGTATATTGTTCAAAGCCTAACAATAGTATCTAATTATCTAAGATAATTTTGTCAAACTAGAATGTAACATCCAAAACTCCTACATACAAACTACAGATTAGAATCCATCACAATAACCTAGATGTATTTATTATTTGTTCAAAATTATATCCTGAATCTCATTATTGTATTAGACTTTTTATTCTGTCAATCCATTCTTACATCTTGAAAAATGTCCTCTATTCCCAATCTACATATTTTCAGCGATACTATCACTCCCACTACTTTGATACTCATTTTCTTAATTTCATCTGATTGTGTTGATGTGGATGCACATTTATGAAAGGTTCGACATTAAGTGAATGACTGAACTGATTGATTAACTGATTACGCTGATTATAGAGTTGAGATTTGAATTGTCGACCTTATTTTACCGAGATTACAGTTCAGCACTGTTTTCCATTGAGAACTTGGTTCAATTATCTCTAATACCTGAATATCACTTGTAAAGTTTTAAGTTTATATTTTATATACCCTTTATCTTTATGCACTTCAATTTGTACAAGTGGACATTAGCATTTAATTCTTCTGTTGTTTGTTTTTAAATATTTCATATACACTTACATTTATGTATAGAACTATCAACTTTCTTTAATGTACTGATCATTATAATATTCACGTTTGTATAAACACATGTATCTTCATCATGTTAATCTTCAATCCAATGGTTTACATTTCTGACTTTAGTCGATTTGTGACTTAGGCTACCTATCAATTGCTGTTAGTTGAACACCAATGATTATGGATTCGGAGTACAACTCAAGAACTTACTTCATAGAGTTAGGCACTAGTAAGTACATGATGATGAGTTAGAAAATATCAATCAAATGTGTGACTACAAATATTTTTGTACAGAAAAAAAACACTTTTTACTAAGGTATTAAGCAATAAATAAAGTATCTACCTTTCAAGATTATTGAATTAAAATTTTGATCGTCTAAGTCCCACCACTGGTCACAACAATGTCCACCAGGCCAATGCTTCTGAGCTATCATTTGTCTCCATAAGCGAAGGAAACTGATCAATGGTTTTAAGGTTACAACAGGACGATTCTTGATAATATTTGTTATACCAGTATGTAAAGAAGATCCACAGTGATTTTTTGTGGTCGCAGTAACATCAGTTGATTCATCATCTTGACCAAAACAAGCCTCTGATGTTAGGATAATACAATTCAAAAGTTGAGGAAAACATGTGTTCAGTTCAGAACTAAAGGTATATATATAAAATAAAATAAAAAAACGAGAGCAATATAGAATTTACTTTACGGTTTTAGATTACATTACATACAGAAATACATCTTAAAAGCCAACAAAAAGTAACTAAGGAGTGATCTTAAATTTTTACATTGCTGCTACTCATCCATAAACCATGGACTTTTTGCAGTTTTCTCGTTGATTACTTTTTTATCAATTCACACTGCCTGAAAATTCCTACTCACCGCCATTTCGTGGCAGGGGAGTAGCTGATGGAGTTGAGAGAATGAAAAGCGAATGTCTGACGCGTCAACTAGGTTGATAGATATGGAGGATCCATCTAGGGGAGTTAGGAAACCTTGATTCCAAACCAATGGTGCACATGGGCTCCAGGATCTCGAGGGAATAAATGGCGTACCAACCTATTGTTGGTCACCGACTACCATGGGACTGAGTCTTCTAACGTTGCTACACTACCCTGTGGATTAGACCCTCAGACCAAAAGTATGGGAAGTGGCCCCCTAAAAAGATTACCTGCTTCAGTTTGGGCGTCAAATCAAATTATTTGTGTGGCGCATATGTATTTGATGACTCGTTGTACCAAAGTTTGTGTGTTTAAATAAATAAGATCTCTCATGGCGAAGTTCACACTGTATATTTTTATACAACCCCCTTTATAGTACAGTCTACCGTAAAGATCTACCCTAAATTTACTTACAGATGTTACTCCTCGTGAGGCATAGGCTACTCACTAGGATTCTCCATCGAACTCTGTCTTGGACAACCCTTTCCAGTTTCTATTAATCTTTTTTCATATCTACTTCTAATTGTCGACGAAGTGTGTTATTTGGCCTTCCACTTTTCCGTTTCCATTCAGGACTTCAAGTCCGCGTTTGCCTCGTGATGCAGTTTGATGATATTTACAATGTATTTCCTGTCCATCTACGTCTTTTTTTATTTCCTCTTCAGTTGGAAGTTGGTTTTTCCTCTCCCATGATAGGCAGTCGATGATTGTATCCGATCAGCGGACATTGAGTATCTTGCGTAGACATTTTTTTATAATACTTGTACACTTTTTGATGGATTGTAGTAGTTCTGGAAGTTTCAGCTCCGTGCAGTATAAGAGGTCTTTATAATCCAGTTAACCACCAGAAGAGAAAAGCAAGAGGTAGCAGACTTGTCTGACACCGGTATTCGCTTGTAATGCATCTATGAACTGCCCTCAATGCACAACTTTGTAGCTCAATCCCTCAAAAGAGTCCCGTATGATGTTGACGATCTTCTTAAGTACTCCATAGTGTCGAAGAGGATTCCGCAAGGTTCTCATATTCTCATTGTCAAATTCTTTCTCATAACACAGGAAGTTGATTGCTCATTCTACTAGCTCATTTTAATGTCAGGTGTCATCAAGAAAATCTATGTAGGATTATGTATGACGTTTAATTGTGGTCATTAATCACCCTCAACTTAACATTTTGTAAGCATTAAGTCCTATGTCCTATTGTAACTTAACACTTAACATAATAATAATATAGTAGTAGTTCAACCAATATTAAAAATGGAAATAAATATGTAAACTCAATTCATATTAATATTATTATTATTATTATTATTATTATTATTATTATTGAATCACTATCAGGTACAGATGCTTGTACTTCACCTGGAACCACATTTATAGTAGGAGGGCTATTGATACTAACCGGTTTTCAAAACCAAAATAAATGGGATGGGATTCGAACCTGAGACTTATTGTTTGAAAGTAAAACGTTTCGACCGCTGAGCAACCGCTCATTTAATGAATAAAGAACTAACGAGAAACTATTGATAAATAATTCATGAAAACCAACATAAATAAATTGGTATTTTACCAAATACACTTACAAGTTTGTTCCATTCACATCTGTATTGGAAACCTTGTTTTTCAATGGATTTGTATCAGTTTTAATAAAAACTGCAAATACAGAGGCTAAGTTTAAACATTCTATAATTAAAGGTACAATAACACAAAATGATGTAATGTAAGTTTTTCGTTTAGAAGAAGTATACTGAGATTGTTTAAAAGATGACTGATCAATTGAACATGCAATATTTGTAGCATTGTCACCAATTAATTCATTCCGTATTAATGTTGTTGATAATGATGAAATTGGATTTTTTCCTTCTTCCATTTGACTTGAACAAGATAATGAATGAGAGAAGAGAAAATATAACAAGAACAACAAACAACAAGCAAAGTAAAAATATGACTAGCTGTTAACATTTTTTTTAGTAATATAAAATATTGAAAGTATTAATAAGGTTTTGAAATTTTCCGTTGTTCATATTCAGGACTCTAAATGATATACATAAATTCGAAGCGAATCGCTTCAATATAACCTTTTGATTACAATTTCTAGTACATATGGATTCTGATTAACATTGGAATCAATGATGCGCTTTTTTTTTATATTCCAAACGAAATCCACCTACATCCTAGTGCTGATATTCAAACTGAGACTCGGATGCAGTCAGTCAGATATAACGTAGGACCAGGCACATATATGTACCAGTCCAAGTTACCACACCTCATTAACACAACAAGATGAACACCGGATTCATAAAAGTAGTTAATTCAGAGGTAGTAATATATAAAAGAAAGATTGCATATAAGGACATAGTACAGGAAGAAAAAATTAGTTCGTAGAAAGAAAGATATGAAGCGATTTTAATCTCTTAGTTTAAGGGAAGACAGAGAGTGTATGCACCTACACCATTGTGATGGATTCTGAACCATGTCACCAAGAGTCTCCAACCATTGGTTACGATAGTCACGCGGACCCCAACCAAGTAGTCTGCATCTACCAACATGGCTCAGACTAGAAGTTAGTGACTTCAAGCACTGATGCCACGTTTTGATTTGGCCGCCCCTAACTTTCTTCCAACTCGAATGCAGTGCCTATCATGTCAAGTATATGAAGATCAATAACGAAGATGTGAACGAATCTTCTCTTAGTTTTAGCTAGCCAAGGTGTATATTTTACAGGCAAGCTCCTAGTAAGACCGATATATTTAGCCCCATTTAGCTAAGTAAAATTATAAACATACACTATTATTTTCGGTCTCCACACTAATCAACCGATAAAACCTCAAGTTGAAATGTCATAGATTCTATATAGAAATTTTCAGTTTCATACAGAGAATATTCACAATATGTTACCTCTGAATTAATGCCCAAAGGTAAAATCTACCACAGAACTAGGTGACCATAATCCCAAATCATTTATTTTCGTGCTCAAATTTTATTCTATGAATATTTTTTTTCACTTCTTTGACTTTGACTCACTAACCCAATCACTAATTACTTGAAGCCACGGGCCACATTCAAAATGTGAGGGCAAGTGATACTAACCGGTTGCCCAAAATCAAGTACGTAGAGGAGAATTCAAACCTCGAACTTAATGGAGAAAAGATGAGAATCTTAACCACTGAGCCAAAACTTCATGAATTTTGTTTCGTACCCAAAAATATGATTTAATGAGTTCTCTCATAATAAGTCATTAAGTTGTTTTCTATTGTTAAACACAAAACAATAACAGAAAGACTGAACTTACAAAAAGACATCTATAAGTTTATTAATGAAACGGGATAAAACACCAGAAATTGTTCGAATAAGATTTTGAAATTCTTTAACAATGCATAGGAGTTCATCATTATCCATAGTAAAATCAGTGTTCATTCCATTAAACATTTCAAATGAAATAGGACAATAAGAATTAATAATTGTAGCCAAGTACTTTAATTGATTAATTCCTTGTATACTTCGACTAATCATAATTTCATGATAAAGTGAAGGGCAGCTAGTAGTTTTATCAGCGCTATTATTATCAATTATTTTATTATCACCAACAATAGGATTAGTCGAGGACCAGTAACCGACATCTGAGGGACATGATTTGTTTCTTTTCATTAAGATAGAATTTCCTCCTTGTTTTGAAATGGCTATGGAAAAATAAGGAAATTAGATTGAACAATGTAAAAGTCAATTTAAACAACAAGAGAAAAAAAACAAGTGCATATTTATTATTAATATTCAAGACAAGCCGGATTATGTGTACTTATCCATCTTAATCTGAATGAGTAAGAATAACGTACAACTTGAAAGATGTGTATGTCAGTTTAAGATTAAATGTTTATTTGTAACCCAACATCTAATTACTGGTTCATGTACTTTATGGGTAAAAATCAATAATACAATCAATTGGACAGTGATCAATGTAGTTTGCTTAATCCTTCAATGTTGATCGAATTTGATCAATCACATTGTAATGTGGCCCCTAGTCAGAGTAACTCAGCATTAAGTGCATTTTGTTAAAATATTAAGAAGTTGGACGTAGCGGGAAACCCTAAAATTAAGTTTCGTGCTGGGGTATCCGTAATTTTGAAGGGACTGATGATCACAGTGGGATTCGAAAACGATTTGCCCAGACCCACAGTCTGAGATGATATGACTAATCTATTTGGAACGCGGTTGACCACCTGTACAACTGAGATGTTTCTAATTGATCGATAACTGAGTAATAATCAGCGTTATGCTTATCTGGTCTTTTAGTGGTTAGTGATGCGATAACGATACCTAGGCTCGAGAAAGAAGGTTAATTAAGATTTGAACTTGTGACCAACTGGTTGGGATTCTCATGTTTTAAGAGCCAACGATGTATTTATTTTACTAGTGTTTGGGGGGGGGTGAATTGAAGATTTCGAGACGAGATAATTAGGGATCGTTACAAACTGCATTAACACAATAGAGTGGAAGACCGAGCATCCATCTATCGTCCAAGTATTTATGTTTACCCACATGATATCGATGTCATTTTTTAAAGGTTATTCAATATCATGTGAAGAGAACAAGTTGACATCAAAATTAGAGTTATTTTGGTAAAGCCATGTAAATAAACTATTCAGTTTAGTGTACACCATTCCACCGAAATCATTCTATACTGAATCATAAATCTTGTCTACTATATTCAAATTACTAGGATAAACCAGACGGATATAAGTTACAAAGTATACTAGTTGCATAATCCCACAATTTACCAAGTATAAAGTATGATCAACTACATAAGTTTTTCTAGAATAGATGGCTTGAATAACGAAGTAATACACGCGAACAAACTACCATTTATCATAACTGCATTTAACTAGTTTGTGGCCTTCACGCTATTTTATTTATTTATTTATTTGAACAAATAAATATTGATACAAGGGGGCACCAGATACATATGCGCCACACAATAACAATGAGAATGGGAAGAGATAAATAATGTAAGGTGTGTTTTAAAAAAAAGAACAATAACCACTACAAATTAGTGTATGGTAGTGAAATAACAATAATAATGGGAGAAACAGAAAGATACAACCAGAAAGAATTCTTTCAGTTAAATAAGTTACGACCACTTTTTATGAAAAAAGTAAGAGAAAGTTACAGCAGGATCGCCACTGGCTTCTATTTTGAGCCATGTCTGATAACGTCTCTAGCCATTGTGTTGCACCATCTCTAAGACCCCAACCAGGTAGTCGTGAAGGACCAACAGATGCCAGTCCTGTGCAGCTTTCTTTCATACCACAACACCATGTCATACACTGACCACTTCTCTGCTTTTTCCAACCAGTCCCAGAGTCGACAAATAATGCACGACGAGGAATTCTTTGGGAAGACATTCTTAGAACATGTCCAAGCCACTGAAGTCGATGTGTCAAGATAGTGACACCAATTGAATTATGCAAATGAGATTAATTTAAAGTAATATGTGGCAAATAAATTACATTCTACTAAATATCTATATATGGTTCCGCTCAAAAAGCCATATGCTTTCGACCTTCTTATGAGGGATACCTTACTTACTGCTTTCTTGTGGTTAGGATATTTTTACCAAAATGAGAAAGCGAAAGAAATAGATCGTAGGCTTGATTTTGATTTGAAATACAAAAACGTTTGGCACAATAAGATACCGGAAATATGCTAATTCTGAAATAATGGCCCATATGAACCACAGGATCCCAAAGAAAATCACTTATGGACATATCTGTGACCAATGATTATATTATCATTCTAACACATATTGATACAAGGAGGCACCAAATACATATGCGCCACACAAATCTCATTCGATATGTGTAAGGGCTGTGATACCGCCCGGGTGCCCAAACCGAAGCAGGTGGTTTTCTTAGGGGGCCACACCCCGAGCCTCCGACCTGAAGGTTTGATCTACAAGGCAGTGGAGCATCGTAAGGAGACGCAGTCCCATGGAAGCCGGTGACCAACAATTGATTCAGATGCCATTTGTTCCCGCAGGATAATGAAGCCCATGTGCACCATTGATTTGGAATCCGGTTAAAGCGCCGGACATTCACTTTTCGTCCTCTCATTTTCGTAAACAACACCCGTGTTGCGAGAAGGCAGTGAGTAAAACTTCCCTGGCCGAGGATATATACGTGTGGCCATGTGAGAGCATTTGGAGAGGGAGAGCGGACTCTCCCCACTCTCGGCCGTACCAGGGCATTTGGTGGCCAATGATCCCCCATGATGATGCATATTTTGACGTCCACAAATCGCAGGATGGATTAGATTTTCGAGTCGGAGGCTCTAAGTATGGTCCCTTCCAACAGGGAAATAATCTGCTTCGCTTTGGGAAAATGTACAGCACCACAGATCTGAGAAACAATGACAACTGTATAATGTGTTTCCCCAAGAATCATTGTACAAAACATTTAAGAGTAATGAGTGAATAATAGTATAGATTTCTTATTTATTTGAGCACATAAACATTGCTACAAAGAGGCATCAAAATATATGTGCGCCACACAAACCACTGAATTCGTGGGTGAGCTAAGATACTGCCCGGATACCCAAACCCAAGTAGATGGTTTTCTTAGAGGGCCACTTCCCGAACCGTTGACCTAGAGGTATAATCCACAAGGCAGTGGAGCAACGTTAGGAAACAGAGTTCTATGGTTGCCATTTTTCCCTCAAGATCCTATAGCCCATGTGTAATATTGGTTCGGAATCACGATTTCCTAACTCTCCTAGGTGGATCCTCCGTACCCAACAACCCGATTAAATGGCCAAAAATTTAATTTCCGTCCTCTCAATTTCGTGAATAACACCCCACCATGAGAGGGAAGTAAGTAGGACTTCCATAGCAGTAACTATATACCTATGACCATATGAGAGTATTTCATGAGAGAGAGCGCGAACTCTACCCACCCTCGACCGTACCAGAGCATTTGGGGACATTAAATTAGCATAAAATATAATAAAATCAACTACTATACACAATTCAAAAACTTACATTTCATTTGGGAAGGATATGTTAGAGATGTGACAATTTGTGATGCAGGTGCACCAGCAAAAGGATCTTCACCTAAATAAGATATTTCATGTGAGGTAGCATCATCAGAAACATCCATAGATGGTGGTTGTTCATGCTCTTTTTCTGCTATCTCCATGTCTTCAGTCTCGACTTTTTGGAAGTCTGAATAATGACATGATTGAATTGATTCCCTTACATATCGATTATAAGGATCCAAAAGTACACGAATACATGCCTACATATTATTATTAAGAAAAATGAATACAGGAATGCTTTCTAATTGGTTAAATGTCACTCGTAACAAAAAAACTACAGTTACTATCGGTTATAATGTCAGTTGTTAAAAAATATTACAATTTATAATTACCGATATGAGCAGTCTTTTGCTATTGTGAACCATTATTCTCAATGATAGAATATGAACTCTATTACTGTTTTTTTAGTAATATATAGTCATATATATAGATTCTGAGTTTGTACTACAGCAGTATTAATTTTAATTTCTCTATAAATTCTATAAGCTAGGTGGGGTCAGATGAATAAATTTAATAGTATTGTGATACATAAATATTTTGTATTAGTATTATCGAGCGAATGAGGTATAAGCACAAATAAGTAAGCATGAGATACTGAAGTTAATTGATTTGAAAAGAAATATTGATGAAAGAATCATACATCAATCGATAATCCTAAGTAATAACCTTATGAAAAGGAAACAATATTCCAGTGGACAACGTTCTGGCATTGAAAACAACTGGTAATGAATTCAAGTATTACTGAAGAAATGAACATTAGGATCCAATGTTGAATCTATCCAACGTAATCTAATTATATTACTGATAAGTAACTATTGGGTTATTGCATAATTTCCCTTTTTTTTAATGTCATCCTTCGAAATGGCATTTACTACACAAATCATCAACATGAATGGATAGCTGAATAGAAAAATGTTAGTGTCAACGTACTTTTAACTGCTCTTCTATTCTTCGTATTAAGTAGGGTACAGATTCAGAGAATCTTTTAACCACTAAATTTAGTCGTGATACATAGTTATCAGATGATGACTGGATTCCACTAAGAATATCTGACTGTCGTGGAAGTAATTTACTTAACCCTGTGAGATAATAATCTGATAACAACCAAGTGGAATCTTCTGAAATTGAAAAAGATGATATGACCAATGTTGTTTGGGGATTAATATCAATGCTACTCCTGAAAAAAAAAATACATGTACATTAGTCTGTATTCCTATTTACGAATAGTTAATCAAAAATAGGTTCAGCAAACATCCAAGTGAACTTGTTTGTACTATCCCTCACCGTGTTATACAACATAATTCTAGTTTTGGGAAATAATAGAGTTAACAATTCAGGTATTTATACAGCTTGGCTTTTTAGTTGTGTGTAAGTATATGTAGGTTATCCATGAAGAATGTACCAGTAAGAAACTGTTTGACAATTTCGTGATCAATGATTCCCAAGTCAACATGTGAACTAAGTGTGACCTTGTTCAGTTTTTAACTCAAGATTGACTCTATTACCTGATAATCATCCACGATTCAATATGAAAACATAATTTGCAACACTGATTAAGCAGTTACTGAACAGAAACCCTATTAATATCACAGTTATTTTAGGAGCGGTGACTTAATGGTTAGAACGCTTGGTTTTCAAAAATAGATCGCTGATCCGAATCTCACTTAATCTACTTCAAATGGAAAGCCGTATATTATCAATGGCTCTCACACACACTAACAGTAGGGTTTCAAGGCTAGTTCGTAAAGCTGTACTTAGTAAATGATTAACACTTGAGTAGTAGGAAATAAATTAGCCTTGTAAAATCATAAAGCACCGTTATTGGTTTCTTTGAAAAATAATGAATAGTTCAAGGTGTTTACGACAACTAAAATAAATCAGTAATAATAATAATAATAATCTGACCTGCTCTTTTCATTCTGAGGAATTGAAATAGACAAATCTAATAATTCTGATAACATTTCAGGATTTCCTTTAGTAAATTCACTGAAAGGCTCAGTGGTTGAAAAAGCACAGGATGGAATTCGATAAGACAAGGGATGACTATGAGAGGTAATATGTAGTAGGTCTGTAGTTTCAACGGATGCATCAGCTAAAGATACAGGAATTTGGCGAACACAGTATTCTGGAGAAGTATCAGGTGACACAACACATCGTTGTCGTTTCCTCGATGCATTTGACAGTGTAATTTCATCACTATCTATCAAGACTACATTTTTATCAGTAGCTTGTGGTGTTGTATTTGACTTTAGTTTATCATCTAAATTGTTTGTGACATTAACATCCCACATTCGACCACCGACTGGGACTTTATACCGTTTACTAGGAATAGGAGTAACTGGTGCAGGAAGGTGAAAATCCGTGCTTGGAACACGAGGGACAGGCGTTCGTAATTTTTGGTTAGAAACATGATCAGGATTTGGGGAAGTTAAGGAGACAAGAATCTGTGAAGCAGGAGAATATTCAACAGAACGTTCTGAAATATAAATAACAGTTAGCAAAGATGAACAGTTACAGAATTTAGAGTATTATACAAACCTACTAAATTAAATAAACGAAAAGTTGAAGAAACTGTCTAGTCGATGAATTTATATCAACGTTTACGAATAAAGTTTTAGTGAATGCGGATAGTTATTTTTGAAAGGTCAGAGGAAAATACCTGTTATTGCTGTAACTAATAGCATTGATGATTGGTTGTATAGTAGGTTTCCATTACTTTGGTTTCATATGTTAGTTAGAACCATAATTCAAATGTTTAGACCTCAACTACCGTTGATAATACTATTTTTCACTTCATCGCTTTTCACGTTGTCGACTTCGTCTTATAGCGCTAACATGATATTTTTTGTTCAGTATCTTTAAATGGTACTGAATGATAAGACAACTTTATTTAAAGCTATATTAACTGATGCTTACTTTTCAGAATTCAATTTGAGAGAAAAGTGATGTTTTAAATAAAAGGTTGACCATCAGATTAAATTATAAGACTAACGTTGTTTATGGTAAAAATCAATTGTCAGTAAGTATCAGTTTCTTTAATTATCACATCAAAGTACTGTCACAATGAGACAGATATACTCACTTCTTATCTCCCCCTTAGCCTTTGAGTTTTAAAATTACCTTATACCTCTTATCCTGGGAGTTTGATTCTTCCTTCTAAATCGTACTGTCTATGAACAATCATTTTTACAACAACTGGTACTGTTGCTAGTATCACTACTCCAGCATATGTCTCAAAAATTCATCTGGCTGCAGTGAAATAGTGTGCCAACTATAGCGTATACATAAATGTGTCAGGTTCTACATTGCTTATAATTGATTGATCAATAATTTTCTACTGGTCGGAAAGATAAGATGAAAAGATAAAGTACCAAGGAAACAATTAATTATTTATTAGTTGTAATTGAATCTTTAATACTCACCGTTCACTACTTGTTTATTAGATGCAACTTCCTCTTTTATACGAGCTAGTTCACTGCATACTAATCGATAGTCAGCTTCACGAAAGGCTATTTGAGCATTTAATTCACTTAGTTTACGTTGGAAATCATTTCGTTCAGATTTAAGATGTGATTCTAATTTACTGATAGTATCAGAATCGGTTGCTTTTGTTCGACTGGCAGATTCTTTAATGGTAGCAAGTTCACCTAGTTTCATATAAAGCTCTTCACGTAGAACAGATACCTAAAAAGAATTCAATAGGAAAAATGCCCCGAAATAAATAAATGATATATACAAATAATACTTACGTACACACTGACAACAATACAATATTTACGTAACCTTTGAAGTTGTTTGTTGCTATTTTAAGAAACAGTAGCTTAGCTAAATATACCGGTTAAACCCAAGTTCACAATTAAAAACACAAGCAGGACAGGTGTTAGTGTAAATTAGGACTAACAGTTCGTCAAACCTGGTATTTGTTAGTGGTTATACAACTGTTTAGAACATCTTGTTCAATCGATTACGGCATCTGCATGTGTTTCATGAACTAGATTCACACTAGAGAAAGCCACGATTTTCTAGACGTTTGAAATTCACAAATACTATCAACTGACTAAATGGTCATATTTTGTATGTTAAAATACCTGCAGTTATACTTAACACTCAGGTAACATGAAGGAAGATGAGTTTCAACCACTAAGAATATATTTACTTTACACGCACCATGCGAATAATTACTTTTAAATACAAAGCGTTTTACGACAGTCAATTACGTTATTCAATAAATGATAACCACCATGATAAAAATATAATACCTCCTAGTTTGATAGGAAATAAATTTGACAGCGACTTTACCTCATAATTTGAAAACATGGAATTTAACTAAGGATATGTGTCACATAACCATTAGTCACCATAAGCACTCTAACATCGAATGTTATGAATTTCTGTAGAACACTAAATCACATTCAGAACAATTAGAAGTTAGATAAGACATTTAAGTACCACAGTTAGATCATTTTCTTGTAAGTGGTTTTGTTTGGTCAAAACATGGAACTTACTTCTTTCTTTAGCCGTTCAAGTTCATTTCGTCCAACAGTTGGAGTTTGATCATTAGGTGGGAAGTCAGATGTCTGAGTGCACCCTCCCAACTTTGTATCTAACGAAGTTGACCGAGATAAGCAATTAGATAGCTCTAGATTTTGCAACGATGTAGAACAGATGGAATGAACTTACTGTTTGAATGTATACTGTGTTTATTTAAATGTTCCCCACTGTATGCTGACACTAAATGTATATGACCCACTGAGTAATACCTTACTTACCATGATCATATTGATGTTGTGTACAAATGAGATCGAACTGGTCCAAAATCTCTTGAGTAAGTTCATCGTCATCCATATGTAGGTTTTCTAGATTTTAATAAATGTAAACCGACTAGTGGAGGATAATGTCTGTTATAGTAGTGAAAAATTACCTAAACTAGAGAAACTACAAGAACAGCAACAAAAAGTATGATGCACATACTAATTAGAAAGTATAATTCGAAATCAATTCTTTTTATGCGTTTTAAATTTCCATAATAAAATTTGGACCAAAAATTAATGATTAAAAGATGTCAGCCGATAAAGGTTCATAAGCTATAAATTACTAGTTGGGTAACTGTCAAAGTTAGGCATCAGGGTTGATGGAAACCTAGGTTCATAGATCGAGAAATTTTTAACCAGATGAAACTAAGGTATTCTTTTGATAAGAGGATTTTAAAAATACGTGCCAGTAGTCTGCAAAGCATAGTTATGAAGTGAGTCAGTCAGCTACAACGTAGAAACACGCACATATATGCATCGGTCCAAGTTGCCACACCTCATTAGCACAACAAGATAATCACCAAATTCATAGTAGTTACTTCAGTCGTAGTAATATGTAAAAGAAATATTGCGTACAAGGATATAATACAGGGCGAAAGAATTAGTTCGTAGAAATAAAGGTATAAAGTAATTTTAATCTCACGGTTTAAGAAAAGACAGAGAGTGTATACACCAACGCCATTGGGATTGATCCTGATCCATGTCATCCAGAGTATCCAACCATTGGTTAAGATAGTCACACAGACCCCAACTAAGTAGTCTGCATCTACCAACATGCCTCAGACCAGAAGTTAGTGACTTTATGGACTGGTACCACGTCTACATTTGACCACCCCCAACTTCCTTACATCCGTCCCTAACACCAGTCAGCATTGTGCACTGTGATAATCGGTGGTCAGTTATGCGTGATACGTGGCCCAACTATATCAGTCGATGAAGATTCACAACCTCATCAACTGACTTACCATCATTCCCTAATACTCTGCATCTGACCTCACTATTACTTACCCAGTGGTCTCAACAGATGCCAGCGATATTTCCAAGGCATCTGTGGTCAAATACTAGTAGCTTACGAGTATTTTCTACTCTTAATGGCCATGTTTAGCTGCCGTAAAGTAAAACAGAACGAACTGCCGCGCAGTATACTCGTCCTTTTGTTGATAGACGGATATCTCACCTTCACTACAGGTAACGTAAGTTGGCGAAAGCCAAACGAGCCTTTCGAATTCGTGTTGAGACTTCGTCAGACACCAACCCATTTGTGCTGGTCAGACTTCCAAGATAAGTGAAATTGTCAACTTGTTCGACTACTTCACTCCTTATCCTTAGTTCAGGTGTTGACGCAGACCAGTCCTGAAGCAGCAACTTGCATTTAGAGAGAAAGAAGCTCATCTAAAACATCCTAGCATTGTTGCTCAGTGCTACCAAAAAAAACTGCAGTTTATCAGCGTCTTTCTCAAACAGGACTATGTCATCTGCATATTCTAAGTCGATATGTGGACCTCCTGGTTGATCAATTTCGACAAGAACGTTACTTCCAGTAGTAGGTCTATGATGAAATCAAACAAATGGAGATAGTGAACAGCCTTGACGTTGCAAAATCAGACGACATTTCACCATAATCTTTGACTGGACTGGCAGTGTTCGAGTAAAGAGCCTTTACAAGGCTTATGTACTTCTGAGGTACGCCTTTCAATTATAGACACTGCCACAGAACTCCTCGATCTACAGAGTCAAATGCTGCTTTTAAGTCAAGAAAAACCATCATTGCCGGACACCGATAAGCATGCCTGTGTTCTAGAATCAGACGAATGGTGAACATGCGATTGATGCGACCCCGACCATGTCTGAAGTCAGCCTGATTTTCCCATGTTTTTGCAGTTCACGAATCCTTGATAGGCGTCCGATAATTATGGAGGCTGGTATTTTATATGCTATATTAGTTAAACTGATCTCTCTATGGTTACCATGGGATGATTTTGACTCCTTATATAATGCGACAGTCAATGATTGAGACCAGTCAAATGGAATTACATTCAGTTCCCAGATTTTGGCTAAGGTATTGATCAACCTAATCGCTCAAACTGGACCACCATCCTTAAAAACCTCTGGCGTTAATCCATCTGGGTCAGCTGCTCTCCCTCGTTTCAGATTAGCTATGAAGGAATACCGATACCAGTCCAGAAAAATACACAGAATCAATACCAAGGAAATATAAATAATAAAGGGCTAGTAAAATGTCAGGAAGTGACATACAAAGCTTACCATTAAGAACCTGACTGCATACGTTTCCGACAGCTACCAACTCTACAAACTACGCCTTTTTATGTAGTGGCAAAATTATAGGCAAATAATTCGGCAAAATCAATAAAGAAGGAAATTTGAAACTTTCTCTCAACATTATTCACCTTTTTAAAGACTCAGATAATCCATAACTAGACGAAATACTTGTGGCGCTACCGAGCTAAGTATTTTTATAAGCAATCCTGGGGTTAACAGGACATGACTTTGAGAACCCTAATGAATAATATTTCCAGTAGTAACTGTCATTTGATCAGTGTGTGTACTGTGATACTACCTGAGTGCTCAGACAGAAGCAGATGGTTTTCTTCTTAGCCAAAATGATACAAATACTGTGAATGAATCATACTAAATACCCTTTTACTCATAATGTGCTCGGTTTTAAACACTCAAGTAGTCTCAAATAGAAAATCAGCTGACATCCAATTTTGGGGTTTCCCCAAAGTCTAGGGAAGTCTTGAAGAAAACCCAAAAGTCCCCTGGAATTTCTCCATAACTGACAGAACTCTCTCCAAAGTCGGAAGATTAGGGATTAGGAAATAATTATTTCCTAACCCCCAAGTTATTTAAATAACTTTGAATGTTAAAGAAAGATAGGTAACATCAAGATAAATCGCGAAATTAAAGTAGAATATAACTAATTAGTATGCCTTATAAAGAAACAACCTCTACTAACCGAATTATCACAGAAATACGACCCAGCTAAATTGCATGTGCGAGGGCATGGTGACAACGTCCTTGAGAAAGCTAGTAGCACTAAATCACAATCTACGAGGGAAACTAATGGTTCAGTTTCAGTTTCAGTTTTGGGGGACAGCAGGCTTGATGGCCTATGTTAGTCTTGGCATTGGTGATCACTCAGTTGATCCAACTTTTTTTTTAAAGAGTCGACGGATGGAGCCTCAACCACGTGCTGAGGTAGTGAATCCCACTCGTTGATGATTCGATGGGAAAGTCGATAGTCAGCTGACAAGTAATTTGTTCTCGGCTTGTGAACTTTTTTGGAGTGTCCTCGTAAATTCTCTGTTTTGGAACACAAGTAAAATGCGGGCATATCAGGTGCAAATTTATCACTAAGCAATTTGTAGACTGTAATCAAGTCGCCTCTAGTTCTGCCATTTGACAACGGGTAAAGGTTCGGCTTGACCAGTCGAGCTTCATACGGAAGCTTCGCTATTCCGGGAATCAGCTTAGTCGCAGTTCTCTGAACCTTTTCCAGAAGCTCACTGTCTTTTTTAAGCAGGGGCTAGCCGCTTGTAAGCAGTACTCAAGTTTAGGACGTACGAACACTGTATACAAAGTCAAAAACGTTTTAGCGTCAACATGACTAAAAGCTCTACGTATTGACCATAGGGTTCTAAAACCTTTGACGGCTATTGCACGGCAGTGTGCAGTAGTCTTTAAGTCTTGACTAACGATAACTCCTAAGTCATTATATGTCTGGACGACAGGTAGCTCAGTGTTATTCATCGTGTATGTACCTGTGCCTTGATGACCGATATGCATCACAACACTCTTGGAAGTATTTGTCGGCAACTGCCATATTTGAGACCATTCAGATAACTTCTTCAGGTCATTTTGAAGCTCTAAGCTATCACTCTTACATCGTATCGTTTTCCATATCTTGACATCGTCAGCATATAGCAAGACCAATGATGATAGGAGACAAGGAAGGTCATTTACATACAAGAGGAATAGCACTGGCCCCAAAACTGTATCCTGTGGCACTCCACTAAGCACAGTTTCCCAGTTAGATAACCTTGAGTTCACCCTTACTCTTCGTTGACGCCTAACTAAGAAGTCTTTTATCCACATCAATAAATTGCTTCCAATCCCGACATTTCTTAACTTATATAACAGCCGGTTGTGCGGAACTTTATCAAAAGCTTTACTGAAATCAATGAAGGCGACGTCTACAGGTAGCTTTTGATCCTTAAGAGTGCACCAGCTTTCACGAGCCACTAATAAGTTAGTGAAACAAGAGTAACCTATTCTGAAGCCGTGCTGCTTCTTTGAAAGGATCCGATTTTTATCGAGATACTTAAACATCTCCTTCCGAATAATCTTTTCTAAAATTTTAACAACCACACTAGTTAGGGTAACGGGGCGGTAGTTTTCAGGTTTGTGTTTCATACCTGTTTTAAAGACAGGACTTACTGTGGCGTTTTTCCAGTGTTTTGGTAAACGACTTTGCGTAACGGATAGGTTAAAGCATGTACTTAAAGGGCTTGCAACGAAGTTAGATAATTCGTTCAGTAGCCTAGGATGTAATTTATCGGGCCCCGTGGGTTTACCTATGTCAAGCTTATTTAGCAAATCAAAGACATCGAGTTCTTTAATGGTCACACTATCCAGTGTATGTATGGTGGGATCTGTATACGCTGACGGGAAGGGCGCTTCTATGGTATATACGTTGCAAAAGTAGTTCGAGAACACTTGAGCCTTACCAAAGTCGTCCTCCACTAACGATGAAGCAGTACTGTCTCCCCATAGAGCAAGAATATTTCCTTTTCTCCTTGTCCTTTGGTTTATATAGGAATACAAGCGTTTAGGACATTATATGGATTCCTTAACAAGTTTTTCTTTGTACAATTTTCTAGACTTACGGGGGGTCGAGGCAGAAGTATTCCGAGCCTTTCGATACTGAGATTTTGACTCGTCAGTCCCCAGTAACCTAAATCTATCCCAGATTTTCCTTTTCTTACGGAGAAGGATACGGGCCTTCTTACTGAACCATGGTGGTGAGTTTTTCGGCCCCTTTGGTATAGTCCAAGGGATGTGAGGTGTGGTAACTTTTAAGTATGAATTTCGAAATGCGTCTCAGGCCGTTTCAATGGAGGACTCTGGGTCTATTGTCCAATCTATTAACGATGCTGAGTGCATGATATCTGGTATGTTTGCTTTCCAGACGTTGGGTCTGGACTGAACTCACGCGTTCGTGACTGGCAGTTATATGGAAGTCGAAAGTTAAAACTGCGTGGTCACTTTTACCTAAAGGTGGCATATGATGGAGGTTCGCAACATCATCCTTATAGTGAGTCAGTATAAGATCTAATAAGGATGATTCAGTGTCCGGATCGTACCTTGTCGCTTCTTTCACATGTTGCACTAGGGCACATGTGATAACCGCATCAACTAGTTCCTGCTCGAAGGAATTCTCTGACGATTTAGTTCGCAGATTTTCCCGGTCTACCATAGGTGCATTGAAGTCCCCTAGGATTAGACATCGACCACTTTGAGACCAAGTATTGAGACTGCCTCACAGCTTGGACTACGAGAGACCAAACCAATCAGCAGCTCTTGTCCCTTGCATTTCAAGCGGCAACTAACTAATTCACACGTCCCACTCTCATGCGAGACACTATCGATAATGGCAAATGGGATAGCATTCTTAATGAATAGAGGTACTCCCCCTCCTTCACGCTTTTGTGTTCTGTCGGCCCTAACTAATGTAAAACCCTCGAAATCAAGTTCCACACTATCTATAGCTTGTGTCAGCCAGGTTTCTATCACTGCGATTATGTCTGGCTTTGTAGAGTCGATCTGTACACCTAGTTACAATCGATTATTAAGTAAGCTTCGTGCATTGGTGTAACAGATCCGAAGCCTGTTTAAGTGCCCTCGTGCTTCACCCAGAGTGGCTTCGGCATCATTCTCTGTCGAAGTCTTACAACCCAAAACTTTACAATTTTTAGGTCTTTTTCGCCAGCGTCTAACCTATGTTGTTCTTTTTCGGATTCCCGTCTTTTAACACGGTCTGCCAACGGTAGGTCTTTTCGGATAAAGACTCCTGAACCCTTTAATTTGTGTCCATTCTGTAGAATTAGGTTACGTTCGTTCGAAGAGCTGAATACTACTTTAAGCAGTCTGGAATGATTTGGTTTCGAGTCCGCTAGGCTCCCTAGTCTGTACACCTTTAGCAAGGTGACCCCGGTGATAGTTTAAGGCATGAGTTGATTAAGCCGTTTCCTAATCAGTACAATGTCATGTTCAAAACGAGCTTTAGGTTCAGAGCTCTCGCTCTCCTTGATTCAATGAAAAATAGCTGATCTGTCGCTATGATCAACTTTCAATTTTTCATCTACTTTTGCGGGGGCAGGATTCGCTTTTATATCCTTACTTTTCTTCCTTACAACCAGTACCCATTCGTCAACGGTGCTCGTAGAAGCAATAACAGTTGCGTCAAACCTACTGTTGGATTTTGGGGGGTTGTTGACGACCTGAGAGGTCGGGTTATATTTACCGCTTGAAACCGATCGAGCCTTGCGATTGCAGCTTCTAATTGTTTCCTGTCTGACCCCATCTGGGAGACGGGGAACAGAAAACCCTACTTTTCTTGAGCTTTTGTTTAAGGCTGGCCTCATTGAAGACTGATTTATCTTCTTTGACGAGCGTGAGTCGTCTGTTATCGAACTAACCTTAGTTTCCTTCACGTCGATTTACGTGTCGACAGATCGAGTGCTGTTTGACGTGTTCCGACTATGTTTGCTTAAGCACTTCTTTGCAGCATCAACCAGTGAGATGGCCTCGGTTAACAAGCTGTTTGCATCTGAGCAGCACTGTTGACAAAGCCATACACAACCCTTCTTACTGAACCGTTTGAAAGCAGCAGGCGTTAAGTTCGTGCAAACTTCGTGGTACAAGCCTTTGCACTCGTCGCACCACATGCCGCTCTCAACGGGATAACGACAACCCGGACGTTGGCAACTGCTTTTTTTACACTGTCCGGTCATTTAAAAGGGGTCCTTTTTCAAGATGCGATGATGCTCAGAAACAAAAAAATAATCAACGACCAAAAGTGAAGAGCTGTAGATTGCTAGGACCAGAAGTACTAACAGATGCAGTTGAAAAAGAGGTACTAAAGAGAACCAACAACAAAACTAATTGAGAACAATGAAAACGGTACTCTAGTCAAATACTTTAACTGAAATAAATTCAATTAAAGTGAAAACAGTAGTCTTGATACGTAATAAACGGTCAAAATAAATAAATTTACTCAGCGAGGAAAAATACCACTGTTCTTTTTAAATAGTAGTTGATCACCGATGCCTCCAGGTAAGAACCTTGGTATATATTAACGATAAGTGAGGAAAAAATTAGTTCAAATGGTTGTGGACGGAATAGAAGAAGATTTCGCTTAACCGGCTTCCGTGTCTAGTAGCAGGGGATCACGAGTAACTCCAGGCAGGAACCTAGGTACGCTAACGATAAAAGAGGAAAAATAAATTAGTAAATCATATTATGAAACTATCCTTAGACCTTAAGAATAGATCAAGTTGCCTCTTAAAGGACTCTTGGGAAGTCGTTTGGACTAGCTCGGCCGGCAGAGAATTCCAGCATTTGACAACTCCTAAGGAGTAGAATTTGTGTTTACAGTCCGTTCTGCTATGTTGTGTGTCCAATTTCTGGGCGTTACCCCTTAGGTTAGTGTTGAAACTAAGCTTAAGTAGGTGTTTGAGAGCATGTCCAGAAGTGTTAAGGATACTATAAGCCATCAGAAGGCCACCTCTAAGACGTCTATACTCTAATGGGTAAAGGTTAAGTGAATGGAGGCGCTCTTCGTAAGGTTTAAATTTGAGTCCTCGAACTGATTTTGTGGCTCGCCGTTGGATACGTCCCAGGGTGTCCTTATCTTTTGGAGTGAGGAGGGAAATACTATGTTTCCGTACTCTAAATGGGGACGGATAAAACTATTGAAGATTATACGGAAAGTTCTTCCGTCAAACTGGCCAAAAATGTGTCTCAATGTTACCAGTGCAAGGTTT